AAATTAATGAAATACAGTTTGTACCGAAAAGATTAAAACACCTTGTTTTAACAAATAGCAGCATAAGAATACAGGATTCACCGTTCAAATTATAGCATAAATAGGAATGATGCGCCAATCATGAATCAGGGGCTTTATTATATCAGAATGACCAAATTAACTTAAATAATGTTCAAAATGACTGCCTTCTCCGCAGAAATGCAGTATTGAACCCGCGTCAGAACCTCCGCCTGTAGCTTCTGCAACATAGTTGGTGTCACAGACCTGTATGCCATGCTGATTCGATTGAGTAAATCGGATTTACTGTTGGATTCACGTTCGTACACTTTGCTTTTTAGGAAGCCCCAGAGAAAGAAATCCAGAGGACTTAGGAAACTTCATCTTCTAAAAAATCGACTAATGGTCCAGATAAAATTTCCGTGTTTGATTCTGATGTTAAAGGTTCATCGAAATACATTGGGCCAATTAAGGTGCTGTTCCATATTCCGCACCACACCTTCACCGACCAATGCACTTGGCGGCGATTCGGTCGTATTAGATGTGGGTTTTTGAGGGACCAATAATGCGTATTCTGCGTATTAATAGTGTCTTGCCTCGAGAACTGGCATTCATCCGACCACAAAACTTCATTAAAAAAATCTGGATTTTCATCCTCCGGGCATTAGTTCCTGTGCCAGGACTGAACAATAAGGATATGCACCGTACGTATATAATATGTTCCACACCGTCAATTTTGAGTAGGAATAAGCCTTGCTAATTTCCCGGACACTACTTTCAGGATAAGTCCTAAGACATCCTCAGCGGGTATCCGCAATCTTGAAGGTGTGGCACGAGACGAAAGAATACGTCTATGACAACTCCCGGTTTTATACAAGTGTTGAACAGCACGGACAATTGTATAATAAGATGAATGTCTTCAACTGGGAAATTTAATTGCATAAAGTCTTGCCGCCTCTCTCTTATTTCGATTACACTGCACATACAACAGTACCATTTCGTAGTATTCTTCATTTGTATGCATCTCGTTCTCCCGTACTAGAATTCGTAATATTGCAATTGCTATCGATTACACAACACATTTTAATAATCACCATGATCACTACCACAGCAAATAAGCCTATTTTTTTTGGAACTGCTTTTGAAATGTTTTCTTCGTCCAAAATATTTTATTTAGTCTATGTTTTACACGTACACAGAATAAATTTTATTTCTTAAGGTCTCAATAGTTGTTTTGTTAACGTATGCTTTTAAATTTAAAAATGATTTACATAAAAGTGACGTCCAAGAGCGAAAGTTTCCTGGCAGAGTTCCAACTAATTTCACTTTGGAGACGGCCACTTACTAGCTTCTTGAAAATGGCCGAGAAAATGGAGAAAATATATGTTTTTTAAAGTTCCATAACTCGGCCAGTTTTTATCATAATAAAATTAATCTTGTTGTGTTTACTTTGTTTTTGTGCATTGCATTTTTTCCTAAATGTAAGTGATAGGACCTGGGGACCGTATAAAAATTAATTTTTGTAATTTTTTTCTAAATAGGTTTTTTGGTTCAGAAAACACGTGTAAAAACATTCTTTACCTGTTTTAAAACATTTTTCAAATTGGAAGTGCATATCTAAACCGAACGGTTCGGGATTTAGCTATTGGGTCACATTAAGGCTGGACACCCTGTATGTAGCAGTATATATAAATTACTGATATTTAAGTACTAGTGTTAAACGTTTGAATGTATTGAAAAACATTCTTATAACTCTAGCCATTTGATTTAAAAAAGGAAGGATGAATTTCTAAAATTGAAGTAGAATCATCTTTTACACGCACGTATACAAACCCCTCACCAAAAGTGGATTTCCGGGAAACCTATTTTCTGTGAATTTTTCTTTAACAAAATGAACATGCTTGCCAAATTTCGAATGCAAATCTAATAGTACAAAAGCAGAAAATTTTTCAATGCCCTCTGTAAGACCTGTACTTGGCGGATTTCAATTTAACAAAAGAAACACGTATATACAAATTCTTTACTGTGGTTCGAAAAGGGGAATTTTTTTATCTATACACCCCTCGCTCCTCTGTAGGAGTTGATTTCCGTAAAATGCGTTTTTAGCGGATCTCTGTTCAGCAAAAGAAGCATGCCAATTAAATTTGAAGTATTTAGTCCAGCAGTTCAAAAACTTAATTTTTTTTTATCTATAACACCCCTTAACCACTCTCAAATCCTTTGCCTGCAGGTTTTTTAAAAAAAACTGTTCTTAATGGAACTCTACCCCATGAACGTAACAAGCCAGTCAAACTTCAAGTCTTTAGGTCTAATAATTAAAAAAGGGGAATATTTATCTGTAACGCCCCTTAACCCTTCACAATTTTCACAAAATCCCTTTTCAACGGATTTCCAATCCTTGAATGGAACATGCCTATCAAATTTCAAGTCTGAAGTTCTAACAGTTGCGAACATACTGTGATGAGCGAATGAGTAAGTCGCGCGCTTTTCTCCTTTTTCTTCTTATTCTTTTTTTTTTCCTTTTTCAATTCCTACTCTCTCTCTATTAGCTCACTCTCTCTCTATATTTGTCTTGCTCAAATTTTCAATCGGTAATAAAATGCATTTTAAAGCACTCATTTGAGCTAAAATTTTATATGCATGCATATTTTGAATGGCAATACAGCAATTTAATTATAATTAATAAAAATTAATTGATTAAAACTAATTATTCAAAGAAATACAAATACAGTCGCGTTCGCGACTTAGCGACCATTTTGTCGACTTATGTCAAAACTTGAAAAGGTTTTTTATTCACATTTTAAAGTGCTCATTTGAGCTGAAATTTTCTATACACTATTGTTTTGGGTAACAAGACGATAATTTAATTATTATAATAAAATTATTGACTGAAATTAATTATTTAAATAACTACAGGTACACCCACGTTGGCTTCATTTTTAGCGACTTGGGTCAAAACTTTAAAAGATTTCCCCCCCCTCACATTTCAAAGCTGAACAATTGAACTTAAATTTTATATACATGATTCTTTTGGATGACAATACAATACTTTAATCTTGATTAATAAAAATTAATTGCCACTTAATGTTGTGATTCTGCCATACGTATATACATATTTATAATAACTAAAACATTTTTTTTTTTGTTGATCTAAGTAGTCAATGACTTTAAAAAAATTGTTTGTACTACTTGTTCTTCTTATTCTATTCTTCTGTTTTTCTTTTCATTTCCTCCGATATTAGCTTCAACATTTAAATATCACATATAATTTCAATACGCTTACAAAACTCTTACCTGTTATAAGTACAGCTTTATTTTCAGGCTTGATTTCTTCAGCCAAAAAATCGCTTTTTAGTGAATTTTAAAGTAAACGTAGCAACAAAAATCCAAAGAAAAAATACAAAAATAGGAGAAAAGAACCATAACATGTAGTTAAAACATGGTACAATAACTTTGATATAAAATACGTGTCTAGAAGATGACATAATAAAATGGCTATAAATCTATTGGCCATGGTAAAAATACTTTGGGTTTATCTCTGAATAATTTTTGAACTATATAACAATAATTTGCTTAAAAAGAATATGCTGCTACATCGGAATTTAGACAATAGCTGTAACAAGAGCATTCGAAATTTCAAATTTATTTTAAAACTTATCTTCCAATAAATGATAATCTATAGAATGCTATCAGTTTAAGTTAGAAATTGCTTCTGCAGCAGATTTGAGAAAAATAATCACATTTCTGGTACACTTAAGGTCTTATAAGATATCTGGGTTTTGTAGTGGTAGGTAAATTAAAGAGATAAAATTAATACTATTGTATATTTTGTTTGTTTTGTTATTATTATTATTTTCATTCTAACCTTGTAGTAAAATTATTTAGTTTTCAATTTTTTTTATCCATTTTTTTAATTTAAAATTATTATTATTAGTTTTATTTATAGTTTATAGTAAGTAATGTTTCCAATTTTATCGATTTATTATTTTTTTTACAAATGTATAGTTTTGCTTAGTTCCCAAAAGTACTTTCCTAACATCCTAAATGTATAAAACAATTTATTTTGGGTGAGATGCGTATCTTTAAATTTTTGAAATTTTCAATTCTTTTCTAAATTATTCGTTGTGTTTGGATGCATAATAACTTAAAAGTTTTTATACCAATATTGAGAGATATTTGGTGTTGGACTGCTGCTAATTTTTTTAGTTACTGTTCTGCAGCTTGCGATGCAGCATTAATCTAACAAAAAAGTTGCTTCTTTTCTCCAGTAAATATATTACTCGAAATTTTCCATTTGATTTTTAATAGGCGTTTTTATTATGAAGTATTAATTTAACTTTTTAAAAGGCAGGAAAAATTTAATACCAAAACATACACAATGAAGCAGGCTCTCACAAAAATATTTATATATAAATATATATATATATACAGATGGAGGACAAAATAATACGAACATCTGTGAAAAAAGTATGATTAACTTCCCACCTGCAGTACAGCCCCGCCACCTGCAACAGAAGTCTGCCACCTAGTGAGCGTGAGGAGGAAGATATCAGTCTTTCTAGAGCAGTCATCTGCGTTGCATGCGTCTATCGAACTGTCTGTTATAAGTTGAAATGTCAGACCTATCAGAGTTCCAAAAAGGAATGATTGTTGGAGCGCGTTTAAGTGGAGCATCGGTTACGGAAGCAGCAAACCTTTTGGGGGTTTGCAAGGAGTACGACACCAGCCGTTATGAAAGCGTACACGAAAGAGGGTAAGACGGCGTCTTCAAAGCACAACAGTGGCCGAAAGTCAAAGCTTGCTGATAGGGATAGACGGGTCTTGAAGCGCATAGTAGCCAGAAAGCACGCGCAATCTTCATCCGAGATAACATTTGAAATGAACAGTCGTCTCTAGGACCCCGTTTCAATTCTATTCATTAATTATATTTAATTAATGAATAAATAGCAAGAAACAAAAATAATAGCCCAACAGCATGCATAAAAAGGAAAATCGCTTGTTGTGTCCCAGTAGCGCAAGCAATGGATATCGCGTTGGACTTCTAATCCAAAAGTCGTGGGTTTGAATCCTACCTGGGATGATCTAATTTCAGAGAATGTGATTTATGAATGAATAAATAGTAACAAACCAAAATAATAGTCCAACACCATATTTAGAAAGGAAAATGGAAAATTGTGTTTTTTATTTTGCATCTTAATATTGTGATTCTGTCATATGTATATACAAATTTACATGAATTGTAATTATTTAATAAAAAGTAACTTAAGTAAAACTTTTCTTTGTTGACCTAAGTAGAAATTGAGTTAAATTTTTCTTTTTTAATATAATCCTTTTTTGTCTATTTAATGTAATCTAACTTTAAAAGTTTTAGATTTGTGTTTCTCGAATTAAAAAAAATATACATATAATTTGTTCTATTTACAAATATATATGGAAAAAGTAAAATTCACATTGTGTTATATTTCCACGACTAAAAAAGATGACAAAACACTTATATAATTTCTCTCAAAAGTATTCGCACACTTAAAAAAACTGTACAATTCTTAAGTTAGCCTCCCTGTAAGATTAAAATTCTAAAATATTGTGCAATTTTGTGTTTTATGTGTTATCCACTTGATTTAAGATGAGACCTATTTTATTTTTCTTACATAATTAATCAATTTATTTTTAAAAGAATTAAAATGCAAGAAGGGAAGGAAAGATGCCTCCCAAAAGTAATAGTACACCAAAACATTTGTGGATGAAAAACTTTAATAAAAATATGATCTGTTGTTTCTTTTAATTTTTACATTATGTCGACGTACAAAAAATCGTCTGCTCAAACCTTTGCTTGTTTTTTTTTTAAATGTTGAATTATTTTTTTATTGTAAAAAAACACAACGGAAAGCGTTTGAAAATTGATTATTTTTCTATTCAGTCAAGGTTAATAGTAAATTATTACAGGAAACTAGTAAATGTCCCTCATTCCATGTATCAGTATGAGTTAGAATTTTAAAGGAAGAAAGTAGAGTAGAAAAGATGCCCACAGAAAAGGAAGTTCAAAGAAGTCACATCAACGTGATAAGTGATTCATTGTTGGAAAATTTATCGAAAAAGTATACACGTTTCAATATTATTAGTTTTTTCGCAGAATTATAACTGAAGGATTTTTTTTATCTCAGTTTCATCTAAACACTGTTAGATAATTATTAAGATCAGCCGGATTATAAGGACATTGTGTTCGAAAAAATAATGTTTGTAAGTGCAAAATAATAATAAACTTTGACTTTTCTTTGCTAATTCTATGACTTACCAGACTGGAATTTATTGGAATAATGTCCTATTCGCAGAGGAAAGCAATTTCAACATTTTTGACTCTGAGGGGTGTATAATAGTATGGAGAGTTGAAAGCGATCTTGTATTGGGGTGTATGATAACTTAAGGATTAAGTAATTTGGTATTTGTTGAAAGTATTGTGAATCACATAAGAAGTATTTAAATATTTTTAAAGGACAATTTTAAATAATCCGTCTAAAATTTGGGTTTTGGAGATTACCTTATTTTTATCAGTATAATGACCCCAAGCGCACTACTCTCAACTAGGGATTGCAATACCGGTATACTGGGATACCGAATACCGGTATTTTGAGCCATTTGTACAATTTTGTAATACCGGTATTCACAAGTTTAAATATCGGTTTTTTGGTATTTAATACAAATTTTTAAAATTGTCTCCACTATATGTTCAGGGATTGAAACTTGGCAAAATAGTTTTGTCTTTGTTTTTGTTTTTATGTCTCCCTAACGAACGAAGTGAATTAGATTGTGAATATAAAGTCGCATCGTACAATCAAAAGAAATGATAAAATCTATGATTTATCCAAGGATGTGGGCCAAAACTGTTATATTACAGCTCAGAGCGATCTGCACATGCCCAGGATTCGTAGTCTGATATTCGTCTCTGTGAAAACGTTGCAGTCGTGAAGAAAGTGCGAAATATTTCAATATTTTTTTAATTGGGGAGTTTGTTATTCGCATTGTATTTGCATACTATACTTGTAATTACATATCATCATGATTTTAAAAAGGAAAATGAAAAAGAAGAAAAGAGACTAACCAAATCAAATTTGATCAAGTTTATAATAAATTTTCTTAAACTTTTTTATTCTCAGACCTATTTACATTCAGAAGAATTCGGAACAGTTATCAAAGATGATTATGACACTAATGTCTATAGTGAAAAGGTATTGCCTCTTGAACAAAAATTAGAATTTAAGTAAAGAAATTTCAACAAACTAAAATACAATACAGAAATCAGCTATATCCAAAACCATCCGAAAAAGTATATCGCGTATTGTTAACTAGTGTAGATCCGAAAGAGCGTTTTCGACAATTGGTAATTTGTGCACATAATTTTTTTCCAGGCTTAATGATAGTATACATAATGTATTATGTTTTTTAAGATCACATTAGAAAAATTTGTAATAATACTACAGACTTAATACTGATATTTACACTTTTTTTGTGATTTAAATAAATAAGATGTTCCTTTCCTTTTTGGGATTCTTTTTTATGCTGTTATAATTTAAAAATTACAAATTAATTTTTTGTGATATTGGCACTTTTTAATAAAACTGGCAAATAAAACAAAAAAGCACATGTGTTTTATTTCTTTTACTAAAATTTTTAGTACCGGTATTAAAACCGGTATCCCGGTATTAAGATCTAAAAAATACCGGTATAGCTTTAGTTCCGATATTGCAATCCTCTACTCTCAACCTACGCATCTAGTCTCACTATAATTGTCTCCAAGTTCTGGAAAAAACTTCCCAATCCTCTGATATAAACGAAATAGAACATATTTGATAAGAATTTTAATTCACAGTAAGAAAACATGACATATTAAAACAAAATGTGAATTAAAAACAATAATCACAAAAGAATAGGAGAATATCGATGCAGAAATTACACAAAAACAGACGAAATCTATGCCGAGACAATTAAAAGCTTTTTCGAATGCTAAGGGATATCCTACAAATAATAAATTCAGAAAAAATGCAATAGTTAAAACTATGTTGAGTTTTTTAAGTGTGTGAAGAACTGTGACGCAATTTTAATTGTTTTATTATTATTATTTTTATATAATAAAAGTTGTTATGTTTTAAAAATTCATTGAATTATTCCTTTAAGAATAAGTTGCAGAGATTAAAAAAGAAATTACATTTATGGTATATTAATGATTATAAATCGATAACATTATATTTTCTAGAAAAACGTTAGTTTACAAACATTTTTAAAGCCACTATATATTAACGTTATTACATTATTATTAGGTGAAGTTTGTAAAATAGCATTTCCACATATTATACGTTAGCTCTAATTTAAAAATAAATTCTATGTCAACTTTTAAGGCAAATGGTGTTATTACAGAGTTAAAACTTGTCGCTTTTTTCGTTTCCTACTATAACTCACTCTCTCCTTATATATATACTTATATATCTTGTTCAAATTTTCAATCGTTAATAAAATATATTTTATTCATCCATTAAAGTACAAATACATTTTTTTTAAACTTGTGGTGGATAACACTTGATTTTAATACAGTTTTTTCAAATATTAATTCATTAATTACCGATTAAATAATTAAATTAATTACCGGTTTTCGACGTCAACTTAGATTCGTCCCCAATGTTGTGACTTAAAACAATGACAAAAGTTGGCGTCGAAAGCCGGTTTTTCAGCCAAACAAGCCAAACCGAGTGTGCATTGTTTCAACAATGCAGACAAATACTGATCTTTTTTTAATTCCTACTATTAGTTCACTCTCTCCCTATATATAAATATTAGCTGTTACCCGCCCGCTTCGCTGGGTATTTCATGATGTTTTATAAATTTTTACTGTTTATATATATGTATAAATTATTGATATCTAAGTCCTAGCATTAAGAATTCGATTGAATTGAAAAATATACTTATACCTGTAACTGTCACCTGTTGATAAAAAAAAGGGGGCAGAACTCGTCTAATTTGTATTTTCTAAAAATCTCTAAAATTGAAGCATAGAATGATGTTTCCTCTTTCGTAACTCAAAAACCAAGTGGATTCCCGCAAAACCAATTTTCGGTGGATCTCTACTCCGTAAATTGAACATGCAAGCCAAATTTCAAGTCTAAATCTAACAGAAAAAAACAAAAGTTTTACTATCAATATCCCCGTAATCCCGTTGAGAGCCGTTTTCCAAAATTACCGCTCTTAGCTGATTTCAATTCAACAGAAGAAAAATACAAACCAATTTCATTATTATAGTCCTTGTAGCTCGAAAAAAGTATTTTTTTTTGTCAATACGTCCCAGTAACCCCCTGCAACCCCCAGAACTTGATTTGCTTAAAATTTATTCTTAGTGGATCCCTATTCAACAAAAGAAACATGCTTAACAAATTTCAAGTATTTGGGTCTAACAATTAAAAACAGGAATTTTTTTCTGTAACCTTTCTTGACCCCTCGTAAACATCTTTGGGGGTCAATTTTCATTTTACTCTTTGTTAGAGGAACTCTATTTCATGAAAGGAACATGCCTACCAATTTTCAAGCAGGATGATCAAGTAGTTTAAAAATGGAAATATTTATCGATTACGCCTCTTAATCTCCCGAAATTAAACTTAGTAGTTGATATTCGCGAAACCCATTTTGTAGCTGTTCTCTACTTTACGAAAGGAATCTGCTTATCAAATTTCAAGACTGTACGTCTAACAGTTTAAAAATGGGGATAATTGTCTATAACGCCACTTGAGCCCCCGCAACGCCACTTCTGGGTCTGTTTTCACAAAACCCATTTTGTAGGGGAATTGCACTCTATGAAAGGAATCTGCTTAGCAAAATTTGAGGAATGTGCGTCCAATTAATTAAAAATGCAAAAAAATTATCAATAACGCTCCTTGAACCCCCTAGGGGTCGATTTTCACAAAACACATTTTGCAGTGTATTTCTATCCTATGAGAGGAATCTGCTAACCAAATTTCAAGACTGTGAGTCTAATAGTTTAAAAAAAGAAATAATTATTTATATCTGCCCTTAACCCCCGCAACACCCCTTGGGGGTCAA